TGGAAAGCCCAAGGTCCATTCAAAAAGTTCCCAAGTTTGAAGCACGAAGTAAGATATTTTCTAGTTCTCAGGACTCTCACACAGTACTGATTTTATACTTTACACATATAAAGTAAACTACATTACATAAACTACATCAGTACTGAGAGAGAACTGAGAACTAGAAAACATCTTACCTCATCCTCCAAACTTGGGAATTTATGAGAGTGTTGTATACAGGTGACAAAGATACACCCAAATGCAAGATCAATTTTGGGGTACACTGGGCATGTCTATATGTGACACTTAATGCTCAGTAGCCTAATACTACTGCATATTAGTGTGCACAGCAAAAAAGCTTGTGATCATGCTAATGCACAGTATAGCAGCCTATTGTGCATTTATCTGGTACTTGATTATACAAGTACTAAATGTAATGCACAGTAGGCACTGCATATTAATAAACATGTAGACATGCCCAATGTGTATCACACAGATATTTCCTCAACTTGGATTTACTACTGTGGAATTTGGTCACTAATTACAGGTACTGTTAAGCTATGTTCAGTGTTATTATTTTTATGTTTGCATGAATCATTGGTTTTGGTATTTCTGTATTTTTAAAAATTGACTAATGATGGGTAGTGAGTTTATTTCTGACACTCATTTAGTAAGCTTCAGCTCCAGACAATAGCTATTCTCACATGAGAGAAACCGTGGCTTTCAGAAACAAAGCCAATTTCTAGAAGATACACCTATAACTAGTGTGCATAACTTAGCCTCAAACAATGGCTGGACAATACCTAAAGTACAGTTGAAAAGCATCTATCTCCCTCTTTAGAAAAAGGAAGAGTGGAAAAATATGGTCTGAAGAAAGAAATGCTATGCAAGGGTATATATATTACTATACTTCTTTAATAAAATACTGAATGAGGAAAGACACCTATTTTGATAGATAGATGCCTGCCTGTAGAAAGGAAGTCATCTGGATAATGCACATGCTCCCTGAAAACTGAACCGAAAAAATAAAGAAGAGTAGAGAATGTTAAAGTATTTAAGAAATGTTTCTTGTGGGAAAACTTTGTCTAGGGCAAAGTTCCTATGGGACAGCTGGGAGAGCTGGGATAATCTGATGAGCTGATTGTAGTGCTGGCCAAGGAAAACATTTTGAAGGAAACTGGTGGATGTCAGTGCTATCTCAAAAGTTGCTTCTAGTTAGAGAAAGAGGGTGAGGTATTTTCCTATTTGTTTTGCATCCTGTTCTAATTCTAATACTGTATTTTCTCATGTACAACATGTACATTTTTCCCAAAAACCACCTGCTGGAAATTGGTGTGTGCATTATATGAGAGAAACATGGTAAGAGAGCAGGTTCTGCCTTACCCAGCGGAAATGAAAGCAAAATCTACAGCAATGTGCGGGGAACAGAAAAATAGGCAGGCTATGCTCTCCAACTGCTGAGACTTAGTTACTTAATACAAGGAAAGATCTTTTCTCTTCATTCTGCCTTTCAAAAACAAGGATGAAACTTTAGTGTTCAAGTATCAGGATTTGGTCAAACAATATTTGGGAAAGGAGTCTTTAAAACAAGCTGCCAAGGGCCACAAAAATATGGGTACTAGCGATTTAATAGGTGCACTCTCCTTCTAATGCAGAGTATTGATCCAATGCCTAATCAGAGGGTCTGTAGACACTGCTTTGCTGAGATTAAGATGCAAAAGTCACAGGGTTTTGGGTTCTGAATAATCATCACAGTTGTCCCAAGAGTGAGACTTCTGTCTCAGAAATATATATATGTGTATACATCCACTGTCCTGCTTCGAGTCCCTCTGAGATATGCCTCATAAAAGGTACTAATATATTTTTCCTGGGACATCCTGTGGTGCGTATATATTAGGAGTGTGTGAAACGGGCCGTATTCAATTTGGATTCGGCCCAAATTGGGGACAGCAATTTGATTTGTTGATTTGGATCACTGTCCCCAATTCGATTTGGCCAAATCAGAATCTGAAGATTCAGTGCTGGTTTGGATAATCAGCAATTCTGCCATAGACACAGCTTTAAATGTTTTGTCTACTTACCTCAAGGTACCAGGCAGCTCATGAATGCTGCAATGGTGGGGCAGATGGAGCATCCCACAGGAGCACAGGGGGGCCACTGCGTGCTCGTCAGCGAACCTGGAAGTGGGCCAGATGTAATTCTGGTCTACTTCCAGATCCACCGGGGAGTGTGTTGGGGGGGCCCCCCACACCCTCTGGCTCGGCGATCAGCCATGGGGGGACCCCAGGTGCACCCTCAGACCCAGGAGGCACCAGTTGCCAAGCCAGAGAGCACAGAGGGGCCTCCGAGCATGCTCCCCGGCAGATCTGGAAGCGGACCAGAAGTGCTTCTGGTCCACTTCCGGGTCTGCTGCTGAGCGTGCTGGGGAGCCCCCCATGCTCCTGTGGGACGCTCCATCTGCCCCAGTATCGCAGCAGTGATGAGCCACCTGGTACCTTGAGTTATGTAGAAAAAACATTTAAAGCTGCATCTATGCCTGAATCGCTGAATCTATCTGAATAGTTTCCAAGGGTTCCGATTCGATTCAGAAAGATTAAAGGGTCTCCTGATTTGATTCAGATTCAGAGATTCAGCCACCAAATCAGGCTGAATCTCCGTCAAATTGAATTAGGGACCAAAGCTTCACACAGCCCTAGTATATATATCTATAGCAACAGATAGACAGAGAGACACCACAGGATATCCCAAGAAAAAAAAATATTAGTACGTTTTACGAGGCATATCTAAGGGACTAAGGTCCCTTCCAACCTTAAGGCTGTAAATTAATGTTGCATTTGATCCAGTATTGATTTATATACACACACATCACCCTTTTAAGCTACATTACTTCTCCTTTGCAAGTAGGCAGTCAGTGAGAGGATGCACCCTGACAGAGTTGGCCCTTCAATGAGCTGCAATGAGACAGAGACAGAGATAGAGATTTTTGCTTAAATTTATATTATGGTTCTGTGTCTGTTATGTTGTTTTTGGGAGCATGGCGTTTAGCCAAAATCCTTAATAATAAATTAACTAGATATATAGATATATGGTTATTGCAGCTCATTCCAGGGCCAACCCTGTCAGGGTGCATCCTCTCACCGACTACCTACTGACAGAGGAGAAGTAGTGCCGCTTAAAAGGGTGATGTGTATGTAAATCAATCCTGGATCAGATGCAATATTAATTTACAGCCTGAGGGCAGGAAGGGACCTTACTGGCAACTAGTCCAAATTCCTGTGCAGATGGAAGATTTGCTGTTCCTAAACCATCCCAAATAAGTGTTTATCCAGACTGTTTTTGAAAATTTCCAAAGAAGAAGATTCTGTAACTTCTTAAGGCAGCTTGTTCCATTGTCCTATGATTCTTACAATTATGAAGAGTTTTTTCCTGGGATTACATTAAATCTCTTTTGCTGTAGTTTAAATCCACTGCCATGTATCCTGCACTCTGGGACAAGAGAGAACAATATTTTCTACAGAAGACCAAAATTGTATGTACCACATCTTATACCACAGGTGGGGTGGTACTATCAATTCCTGGGCCTTGCCTACAATGCTTCTGCCAACATAAATTTAATTTGCTTTTTTTGCAACAGCATCATATCACATGGGTGAAATCTGTTGAATGAGTGATCCACTATAACCTAGATCAGGGGTGTCCAACCTTTTTGAATGTGGGGCTGGATCATGAACTTTTTATCACCCAGTGGGCTGGCAGGAGCGGGCACTCACGCGGCCTGTCCAGTCCAGCCACAGCCTGGGGGCGCAGGGGTCAAAGGGTGCTGCCTGACCCCGCTGTGTCCTCCCTGCCACCTGGGTGGCCTTGAGGATGCTCCCACACCTGTACACCTGGGCTCAGCAGCCAGGGGGACATGTGGGGACTCTACAGGGGGGTGCAGGATGTACAGGGACACCCCCCTGCTCCCTGTCCCCTGGGGCAGCCCAAGCCCAAGCGGCAGGGGTCCCTCCCTCCCTGGGGCCCGCAACTCACCACCCCCAGCGCGATGTCTGTGGGCGCGTGGGGATGCAGGGAGGCAGGAGCGGCACCACCTTCCCACCCTGACAGCCACAGCAGCAGCGGCAGCAGCATCTCCCGCAGGCCCGGCCGCAGCATCCCTCTGAGCTGGCATCCGCGCCCCCTGTGCCCGCCCACTGCACTGCAACCTGTTCCAACCCACATGGCCAGCGGGGACTGGTGCAGGGTTGGGCCGGGATGCAAATGAGGAAGGGAGGGGCAGGGTTAGGAACAGAAACCCTGCAATGTGGGAGAGGGGAGGAACTGGCATGCAAATGAGGAAGGGAGGGGTGGGGCAAGGAAGGGACACGGTGAAATGAGGAGGAAGGGGAGGAGCTGCACCGCATCAGCAACATCAAGCTAATGCAGTGCATGTGGGAACCTTGTCCCTTCCCCAGCCCTTCAGCAGCCATTAGGCAGCTGCTGAGGGTCTGGGGGAGGGACAAGGAGTGGGAACGAAAGTGTTTACTTTTGTTTCCTGTTGCAGTACCGCGGGCCACAGAAAATGGCTTGGTGGGCCGCATGGCGGCCCGCGGGCCATATGTTGGACAAGCCTGACCTAGATCTTCGTGGCAGTTCGAATGCCAAGTGCTAATACCATGTTAGGAACTCCTTATGCAAATGTATCACCTTATATTTGTCCTTATTGAAACCAATCCTCTGTGATCATTAAACTTTCCTAGTCTTGTAAAAACGACAGTCTGCAGCAGTCAGCTTCCATTGTGGCTAGTAAGAATCTCTCCATGTAAAGGGCCCTTGTAATCTTGATATCCCTCACTTCCTGTACTTAGCTGCTGTTAAGTATTGCTCTGTATTAAGAGCTGGCATGTACTATCTAAAATGTGGCTGTATTTCAGCGGTGACTTTCATGGTTACTATCTGTGTGCCAAGTGCTTCCAGAGTATTTGGGTTGATGCTGGGCAGATACAACTTATTGTTTTGAAGTTCCATATTAAAACTGTTCTTACTTTGTCCAGCAAATTTTGTCTATGAACTCTTGCATAGTCATTTTGTCCCATTCTTCTGCATGTGGAGCTTTCCACGGGGCTTCATTAGGAATCTAAGAACATATAAGAACAATATTCACTCAATAAGCAGACTTCACTTTGAGTATGATTGTTCTTTATCAGGAATATAAGTGGCATAAAGAAGAGACTAAAAAGCATGGACCAGACATTATACCTTTCAAGTTTTATGCCAATAATTTTAATAAAATCATTTAATTACAGTTTTAAAATTGTGAGAAGTCCATATTAGGACAGCTACACTGTGATTTAGGAGTCCATATTAGGAACATTTTAATTGCTTTTGTGAACTGTAGATGTACTCATTTTTATTTTTATGCTTAAGCAAATAAAGTGGTCCTTATTGTTTAGAAAAAGAAACCTAACAGAAGAGAGTCAACCTTAAAAACTGAGTAACAGGCAATTCATTCAGGGGAACTAATTCCATTTCATTCATAACATTAATTTATCATAAGTTTCAAGCTCATATGAACCGCAGAATTATGTAGTAAGTAGCTCATTGGCAATGTACATAAAAATTCTGCCTATGAAATTTTAACTAGGAATAGCTGGCTTAACAACAGATAAAAACTTCAGACACTAGCACATTGTCTAGTGCAGTGTCAGAGACCAGTGCAATCCTTTTTACCCTGTATCAGCAATCAGCAACCTTTTCAGGCTGAGGATTGGAATGACCCAATTTGGGTCACAGGCAGCCCGCTGGCGCACAGGTGGGCACTAGGACCCAGCCATCGCTGCTGTCTTCCCATACTGCTGGCACAGGAAAAACACCCTCTGCCAATGATTTCCCCCAATTTTGCCACCACTGCACAGGAAAAGTGCATCTGCTGCCACTTTTCTCTACACATGCCACTAGAGCTTTTCCCTGCACTGGCATGGGCAAGGTACCCACTACTGCTGCTTTCCCCTGCAACTGCCACTGCTATTTGTCTCCATGCCAGCATAGGCAAAGTGACAGCTGCTGAAGGCCCCCACCACACCCAGTACCACCAAAACCCCATGTCTGCAAGCTGGATCAAAACCACAGGCCATAGGCTGCCCTTGTTCTACACATACACACAGAACAGACAAAGACCAAGTGCCTTGGGTGATTGAACTTCCACTTGACATACCTCCTTTCCCATTTCATCCATTGTCCTCCATAGATTGTTAAAATCCAAGTAGACAAATGGGTTCCACATAGGCGGGAATGGACCCTTAAATGGATAAGATTTACCCTGAAAGGCAAAAGGTTTAAAAATCAAAATGCAATGTTAAACTCTAGTGGGTCACTTAGAATGAGCAGTAAACTCCCCTGTGCAGGAGCTGGCACTGAAGGATTAAATGAACACCAAAACAAAACTCCTTCTCAATGCCAATTAATACCCATAGTAGGTGAGCTTCTGACAGGTTGGTTAATCACTTCTCCATGAATCACAAGTAATACAGAACAGAAGTTTAAAAAAAAAAGTTGATAAAATACTATATCTTTAAAAGCAGACCACGAAAAATAGTTTTAGGTTGACATTTCCAACCGGGCCAATTAAAAGTTTAACCATAAGGTCAGGAAGGCCAGCACAAAGATGACAGATGGAATGGGAATGATAGCGGGATTACAAAATATTTTGGCAGTAGCTCTTTCTAGAATAAACAAATTGTTTTAGCTCATTTTTAAACTATATAAATATTTATAATGTGTTAATCTTTAAAATCATTCCCATTTATTAGCCATTAATAAGGTAGACATTTTAAAAGTCCTCAATACATCACTAAGTATTGAATAAATGGACTTTACACAAAGCTATTACTATGAGTTCAGGACATCTGGCTTAACAGGAGGGAAAAGATGCATGATTTGTTGGTGCTGTTCTATTTACGTGAGATTTCCTTGGTCATTTTTCTGGCTGGAAGAATAACATTTTTTGTGAAATTATTAGAAGATGGTTAGAAATCATTGGCTTTATATGATAATCCACTTCAACATATTTCAGAGTTTGCTTAGAATATTCATGGTTAAGAGTAAGGGGCAGCTTGAGTAGCAGGAATCAGCAGAATTGGTTAAACACTATATAAAACATGCATTTCAGAGTGTATGTCACCAAAAGTCATATTGAATTAATATATTAAACTTTAATAAACACTTGATACAGTACCCAACAAAATGATTACTAGAAAACATTCATTCAGATTGACTTGTTTAGAGGCACACAACATGATTAAATTTTAAGAACCAGGTAACAATAAATAACAATGTATCGTGTTAAGAAGTGTCCAATGAGCTGTTGCAAGGAGCAATTCAAGGCCTAGTTTTATTTAGCCCCTTTTAATAATCTGAAAAAAGTGAAAGAGGAGCACATTATTTAAATCTGCAGGTTTTGCAAACATCACAGGACACAGTAAAATAAACACAAAAGGACCCCGAGAAATTAGAAACATGGTCCAGAAATAAAAAATGATCTACAACCTTAAAAAATGCAAGCTGATAACATTTGAGGAAATCTAATTCAAAGGAAAAGAGTTACTTAGAAAGCAGTCATGTTAAAATCAAATATAAGGCTGATAGTAACAGCAAACTGGAAATCAGTTTCTGATAAAACAGTGACAATATTTCTCCACCCCTCCAACACATACATACACACCCTTCTACCAATGCCATCTTAGATGAGATGAAAGAGAAACTCTTTTCCACGCAGTATTTGTAAGGACGCACCGATCCTAGCACATGAGTGGGTAAAATTCAGGTCTCAGTACAAGTGGAAAGAAAGTAGAAAAAGTGGCTATGTCCAGGCAAGCAGGGGTGTGTGGTTTATGGTGCCACAAACCACATGCAGGGAATATTAATATACGCTCTATGCTGCAAATTTGCAGTGCATGGCCAACATTTGCTATCAGGATATCTCAGTAGCAAAAAAGCACTGGGAAAAACCATGGTGCAGCACATGTGACAGAAGCATGCGCCAGCAGACATGGAGGCTTGGTCCTCTAGGGAGATGCTCTGACTCCTGGCTACAGTGTCTCTACTCCTTCAGTTGTGCTCTGGCTCTTATAGCATGCTGGTAGCTTGGGCAAAGGCAGTTTGCCTGAAGCAGGACAATCTGTCCCTTAACAAAGTGCACGTACAGAGGCATGCGCTGTGGCAAAAAGTAGCAGCACAAATTTGTGTTGTTACTATTTTTGCCATTGCAGGCACATGCCCCTGCACAGCTGGCCATAGCCAGTGAGTTTATTTGTTGTAGAGATAAGACTTTGTAGGGCTGGCTTGAGAACATTTAGGTTTTGCAACAACTTGACTGTTTTTGAAGCTGCCAACATCAGTTTTAACAAAGCTTTAACTGAGAAGGTTTCTAAGGTCCACAGTTAGCTCCCCAGCTCCTTATAAGGAGGGCAATCTTTTCAGCCTGAAAACAGACAGTTCAATGCAATTCCACTTCGTGAAAGTATTTGGAAGAGTTTTGTTTTCATTCCAGTCTAGAGCAATACCAAATTTCTAGAAGTCGCTAGAACATAATTCCATTTCATAGCAACTCTTTGGGCTAGGGACAGAAGTTATGCTTAAGCTGGTATAAGGGATCAGAAATCAGTTCATATTTGTAACAACAGAAGTTCAATGAGCATAAACCCCTTTCAAAATGGCTAAGACCCATTTAAGATAAACCCGGATGGATGTAGTATCGGACTTAACTGATTTAAGTTAAATCAGTTTACTGAACTTCTGTTCCAGATCAAGTTAACTCACAGTCCCCTAGCATCCTAGGATGTTTTGCACCTATCCCACAAACCCCGCAAGGCTAGCTTTGGCACAAGTTGTCTGCTCCAGCTGAGCAGGGAGACATGTTCTAGCACCCCCTGGCTTCTGGCCTGAGCCACTGCAGGCATTTAGCAGCATTTCTGGAATCAAAAGTGAATGTCTGATCACTGGTTTATTGGTTCAATCTACACAGCTTAGACTAACCTGCAAAGATTGAACTGATTCAGCCTCGGGCTTTTTGACTGTCTGTATGTATGCAGCCTTGTGGTTTCAAAACTTGTTTCCATCCTACACAGATAGAAACAAAAGCTTTTCAACTTTTTCACAAAAATGAATTAGTGTCATGTTCTAAAGGCCAGGTTTCTTAAGTGGAGTGGAGTGATGGTGAATCCAATTTGAACGTCAGAAATATTCCAATCAAAAAAAAAAAAAAATGATTCAAACCAATCTTTCATCAATCATAGGCCTCCAATAAAATACCACATTTTGATTTTTAAAATGTCCTCAAACATGTTCTGACCAGCTCCAGTTACTTAAGAAAGCAAGTAAACACAATAACGCAAGCCAAATCTTCCTCCAAGTTTAGGAAGTCTGAAGTTTCTAATTTTGATTCCTAGTAGGGTTCATTTTGGATATATCTTTTAATAAGCCACATTGTATTCTGCATCTAGCTACTACAAACAATGGGCTCATCAGAAATGGCTAGAGCAGACAAATCTCTGCAATGGATTCACCATTTCTTTTCAGCATATTACCCTGTCCTATCTTTTTTAATGTCCACTTCAAGACAATGGAGGGGATTCAAAGATGACAATATTTAAAATGTCATTATTAGGCAGACAAACACCTTTGCTTCTCCTTCATTTCTGATACCACATCACAAACTATCCTGCTGCTTTGAGAGCAGCATCATGGATGAAAAGTAACTGGCTGAAGAGCTTCACAAGAATGATACAATGCTGGTTGGAAGAGGGAAAAATCTGGAAGATGTATTTTCCATCATCTTGTCTTCCACTGAAGGATTTTACCCTCAGATTTTCAAACTTTTCTATGGCTTAGGGATGTTTCTCTTTCCTTGTTATAAAAAGGAATTCCTGTCCTCTATTCTTTCTTAGATTTCTGAATTAATGGCCTGTTCAGCATGTTAAAAAAAATACCTATTCTCCCAGACTTTGAGGAGGTAAAAGTAAGAGAACAGACAGTGTGTTGAACAAGTGGTGATTTCCTGTTATTTCCCTTGGTTAGTTGTGTTGAACATCAGGGTTGCAACAAAACCACAAGTCTTTTGTATAATTTGGACTGTGTTATAAATATTTTGTTGAAGGCACCTGGAAACAATGATAAGCAGTTATGCTTTATAGAAAATTAAATAAATGGTAAATAAACAAAGAAAAAAAAAATCAGATTGTGAGTGGTTCATGGCAGACAAGTATCATCATAATTTTGAGAAGTGACCTATATGTCAGTCAAGCTACGTAAAAAAGAACAACAAACACTGATTAAATATTTTTAAATATTAGACAGTCTTTAAAGGAAAATAGAGCATTTGACATTATACTAAGTCAAATAAGCATTTGACATTGTACTAAGTAGGATAAAGGTCTCTTAATTCTCATGCTCAGGATATTAAATTGTAGTCAGAAAAGATATCTCCCTAGGTACAGCAATGCACCGTTTTGATGATGTACTGTGGTGAACTTACACTTTTCTCTGAAATAGATGACATTTTCCAGTGTCATATAAAAGATAGACCTTTGCTTTATGCTAGCATGACACTTCTTAAAGCAGGGGAGTGCAAAATTCAGCCCACGGGCAAGATCCAGCCCACCAGGCAATTTCATCCAGCCCACAGGCGCCCACCAATTAATTGTACCCTGCTCAGCCCACACCCTTTGCTACCAGCCATGTGCATGGGAGGGCCCCAGCCTGGCCAGCATGCACAGCTACCGGGCAGGGCTGCTGCTGCCACCGCTGCAGCCATCAGGGGATCTTCTGGGCTTCCCCAACCTTCAACAGCTCCTCCTCATGTCCCTGCTACAGCACTCACTTCAAGCAGCAGGTAGGGAAGCTGCAGCTAAGTGGAAGCGTGGAGCATGGGGCTGGGTGGAGTATGGAGGCTGCACCCAGCGAGATGGTGGGAGCTCAGAGAGGCAGGATGCGGTTGTGTGAGGTTTGTGGGGTGTGAGGGAGGGTGGGAAAGTATGGGAATCCCCCCACACACACACACCTTCCATGGTGCACAGCCCCCACCACCAGTGACAGCAGCAGCAGGCAGAGGGGCCCTCAGGACGCTCATGGTCTGCACAGGTGCAGTAGCCTGCAGCTCCAGCCAGTTCTAGGAGCTGCATGTGGAGGCAAGAAACAGAGCCAAGGTGGTCTGCCTCTTGTGCGGGACTGATGGGCAGCTCCTGGGACTCATTCACCACCAGGGGGACGCCCTGGCCGCTGGAGCCGGCTGCCTTCCCTGCTCCCTGCTAAACTGTGCAACTC